ATCATGAAGAAAAAAATTAAAAGGAATTTTAATTCAAAAAAATATTTATACAATGATCAAAACAAATTAAAAGAAAAAGAGCAAAAGAAAAAAAAAATGGATCATCTCTCCATGTTATGGAAAGTCTCTCCATAACATTGAGAGTATTATGGAGAACGATTCTCTCCATGTTATGGAGAGTTAACCCTCCATTTTTTTTAAAATTTATTTTGTTCATTGTAAATATATATTTTTTTCGATTTATATTCTTTTTAATTCTTTTCTCCTTATGATAAAATTTAATTTTTTCAATTTTAATTAAATAATATTTATATACTCTTTATTTAATTTTCTTTATTTTATTTTGTTTAACTTGTTTTGTTTTTATTATATATTTTTTAATTTTTTAAAAATTTTTCCTCATATTATAAATAATTTTTTTTTCAATTTAAAATTCTTTTTTATTTCTTTTTTTTATGATAAAACATCATTTTATAGAGAAAAAGAAATTTGAAAATATGATAAAATGTAATTTCATGATAAAAAGTAACTTTAAAAAGAAAAACACAATTATTTATAGTATGAAAAAAATAAATTTAAAAAATTATTTAATTAAATAAAGAATATATAAATATTATTTAATTAAAATTGAAAAAATTAATTTTCATCATAAAGAGAAAAGAATTTAAAATCGAAAAAATATATATATGATAAAATAATTCTTTTTGTTTTATGATAAATAATACTGGATAAATGTGATGAGTAGTGGAAAATCAATTTGAGAATATTGTGTGAAAAAAGAATGTGACAAAAATGAATAGCAATCCCCCAAATCCCTCTTTTAAAAGAAAGTAGATAAATAGAATCAGACCTCAAATTTTAATTAGATTTTTAACGGCGTCATAATTTTTCACTTACTTTTATGTGCACACAAATGCATGCCTGGAACTGCGTTTTCGTCTGGAGTAACATTATTTATCACCATTTATATTTAATATCAGTCTAGAAGATAGTACTAGTGACGTTAAATTATAAGTTCAATTAAATAAATCACATGAGCTCATCTTTAATTGAACATATTACATAACGTCACACAAAAGGGTGCTCTAGCGCCACTGATGCTATATAACATTATTCTTTCGTTTATTTATGTAACTCACATGCATGTTTAGACGTACGAACCTATAATAATTATTTGTGCGTAAATATTAATTTGTTAGATATTTAAAAAGGGAAATTATAGTGGAATTTAAAGTTTTATGTAATTAAAACTATCAATTTTAATGTTAAAATCGAAAGCGACCTTCACTTAAATTGAAGATAAATGTTATACATTAAATCAGTGGCCGACACATACATTTTGAGTTGGGAGCACAATCAAATTTGTCAATAAATAAATAACAATAATAATTATGCGGAAATTTTACGTTCGAAAAACTCATACTCTATTTAAATTTACATCTAGAAATTTACACAGGGTATGATTTTTTGGACTTAAAATTTCAAAATTTGTTGACTTCATAACCCACGTAAAAAATTTCTAATAAAGTGATGTAAATTATATTGAAAAATTTCTCACGCAAAAATAATAAATATTAATGAAATAATTATAAAATTATAAAGAAACTACGAGTTAAATGCTTATTTTTAAGATGCACATTTAACGTATTTTAACTATTTTTAATATCCTTTTGGACTATTCAACATGTCTATGATGTAGTTCTCAAAATGAGTTTTGAGATGATGTTGGAAAATTTGTGGATTCGATTAGCATACAATCATTGAAATTTTTTAAAAGTTAGCATGTTATCGTAATCGTGGAAATACTAATTTGGAACGGCCTATTTTGATGAGTCGTAATATTTGCTATGATTGGCAGTTAAGGACATGAAAACTATACTCTAAACACTTTGAAATGGTATTAAAAAATTAATATTTCGATTTCATTAGACATCTCATGACAACCCTAAAAAATAAAAATAAAAAATTGTCCTAAAACTGGGGGTCATGTGGCCCCATGCTACCACTAGTGTCCTCCGGCTCATTAAGTCACGTCCAAATTTATCATTCACATTGGTAATTTTGATCACATAGAGATCAAAGTTCAAAGTTTAAAAATAGGTATCATATCTCTACTTTTAAAGATTGGAGACATATAACCACACTATGTGAAAGATTGGACCAGTGTTGGCTTAGGATCCGTTTCTACTTGTGTGCCTAGTGCATAATGGGAAGAGCAAATCACAAACATTGAACCTTGTCAAGTGCGTACAATGCCTATTAGGCTCAATGTGTGACGTCATGTAATAGGTGCTCACAATTGTAACTGTTTTTATACCGCAAACTCTGACAGCACATTCTACCCACTTGCTAATACGAGTTTCCTGTCCATTTGCGATGGTGGAATCTCAAATTGGTTAAAATAGAAATTTATCCGTATTTACCCTATTTAGTAATTAATGTTAACATCTTATGGCTACATTCAAGTCTTGCAATTTGGACTTACTCGAAAATCATCGAAATGTTCGAAAAAAATCTAGTCGAGTTTATAGAGTTGTTAATAGAACAAAATTCTTATTTTATAACAAAATTACGTGTATTTTAAAAAGTCATCTAGTTCGACGTCAAGGTCTTTATAATACGTTATTATGTCTAAAAATCTACGTTACAAAATACGAATCAATGTTATAAATCTTCGATGATTTTGAAATATGAACTTGACGTGTACGTGAAGGAGATCATCAAGAATTATTAGAGAGATAATCGTATCATAACCAACACTTAGAAGATTCTAAACTATAAGTATGATTAGAAAAGTAATTCAGTGTATCAATCCCATCAATGTGCCACCTCAAATTTCAATGACAACAATGCCCTTGTCCAGTATTCAATCTTTGCGAAATTGCACTTTAGGAATTTGGCATTATCGTCATTTCAGATTCTCGTGTAAAACGAATTAGTTAAGCAGTCAATTAGTTGGGAAAATTAGTGGACACCTCAACGGTCATGATTGGGACTATTAAACAAACAATTTATTTGGAAGCCCTTCATGTAAATATTATTTTTTTAGCCTGGTCCTGATTTACTTCGTTATTTCATTATTATCCAATTTTTAGCTCTCAATAATACATAGCACCTTTTTATTCTGATAAATTTTGACATAAAAATTTGAAATTGTAAGAAATTTGTATATTCGCGTTCAAGTAAAGTTCATGTGCTAAAGATATACTAACATCCACATGTTTTTTGTATAGTAACGTGGATTATACCAAGATTTTCAAATGATGACGTTCAACAAAATCTTAACAAAATCTAGTTGAAAATTGATAAAAATTATGAGTTCTATGAAATATGTGATTAACTTTAACATCAACTTTTTAACAATTTCTTAAGATATCCTAAACTTAATCTAAAACACTAAATGATTACTTTTCGACAGGTGTATTAACGCTTGGTTTTCTTTGTAGTTCAATTAAAATTCTCTATTTTATATGCATCAATGACATATTTAAAAAATTATATATACATATTGAATATGATCAACCATTATGATACAATTTTAATCTGAGATGCATATTTGGTAATAGGTTGAGGACCAACAATGCAAAATTGCCATACTATTAATCTTTTCAGGTTACTGTTTGGGATCCTCTTTGTTCAGACATTCCTCAAATTGCCGCCGTGAAAGAGCAGAATCTTTCAGCAATTAATAGAGCATCCCCTCGGCCCTTTCTCAAACCAACGTGTGATGGAACTCTTCTCCTGCCCCACAGTAAAAAAATCTTATCTTATTCACTTGAAGAGAATCGAACTTACAATCTTACGTTTGGAGATAATCATAAATAAGGTTTCTTGTCATATCAGCAAATGGGCAATCTTTTCCTGTTCATGTGGTCAGGAGAACAAATTCGAAACATGTAAATATATATTATTGTTCACATTACCCCAAGATTTACAGAATGTAGTTGGAATTCTATTGTCGATATCTTTATGACTTTGCTGTTAGGGCATGAGCCATAATATATTTTGCTATAATGTCGACGTAACTATGAGTCATGACAAAAGTCATAAGGTTTTTTTTTTGTTGTACATAAAATTTAATTTTCTACGTTATTATATATTGAACCAGGATTCTTAGACATCTAAGGGTATTCTTGGAATCATATTATCATGATAATTATAATGGAATCCAATCGCAATTTGACATTAATAATGTGGAAAAGCTTGCACTTTCAAAGAAAAATGGATTGACCCTTATGGACCTGGATTTTACAAAATCTTTCAAAAAAGGAAAAAGAAGAGGGTCTAGCCTTTAGACATTTTACTTCCAAAAAAAAAAAAAAAAAAACTCAGAAGATGAATCATGCAGACTGTGAGATAATCATATGTTTTTGAAGACATATAAATCATTTTGACTTGTTCAAAAAGAAAAATAAATAAATAAATTTAGTCTACTTGTATACTTTTCGTGTACATAATCCCTTACACTGAAAGTGTACAAGTAGCATCATCCAAGAAAAAAATACCAACTCTACTATAAATATTCGTAGCTCTTGACTCTTCTAAATTAGATTTCAAAGAAAACTAGCTATATACGATTTTGGTTGGCCATTTACTCCTAAGTAAAATTCGTTCCCGTACATTTGCGATGTACGTGTATTCAGTCCTCGAAGACTTGTTATAGCTCTCTTCAACTTGTTTATGGCTAGATTGATCGATCGGAGGTCAAATAGAAGATCTAAAAGATTCTACTTTTGAAAATCGCTTATACGGCTACACATAATGGCCTAAACCGTTGTTCCATTTTGTTCTTGACTAATGATCCGAAAGGTACATCGTATATTTTCAAAAATTTAAAATCCGTTAAAATTAGTTAAGAATTGACAAGATCGGATCGTTTAACTTTTACCCTTTTCGTGTGGACGTTGGACCGAATAAAGATCGAGTGACGAAGCCTTTGACTTTTTCGACAAAATTTAAATCGGATCCAATGAACTTTTGACGTCCACAATAAAAACGCACGCACTCTCTGAAAAGTACAGCCCAGCATCTCAAAAATTCTCTCACTAGTTACTGCACATTTTTTTGAGAAGAACTTTGATAGCTACATATACATACAGAAATATTAATGTTTATATCTGAGTTTAGAATGTTTTTTATGTATGTTTTTTTCAATCAATGATGCTAATGGACAAGTATAACGAGCGTATGCGAATTTCAGTTTTGTTGATTTGAACAGACAGTACTGTTTGAATCCAGTTCTGGTGAGTTTTTCTCTTCATTTCACTAATTTTTTTGTGAAGATTACAATTTGAATTTTGTTATACACGTCTTTATACTCGCATAACATGTATATTTACGTATGTGCGTATTTTAAGGGTGAAAATTTCGCTTCATTTGAGCTTTAGATTGAGTGTATTTGTTATATGATTTAGGGCTTGATTGAGTATATATGGTCATTCTTGTACTTCACTTTAGCTAAAGTTTTGGATTTTTTTGGCTTATAACATGTTCACTTCAAATTTTATCTTTTCAAAGTTTTCCCTTTGTGTTCCATTTTCCTTTTATTCTTCTTTTTCGGCATGAATTTGTTCGGTCTCACTTTTTTGTAGATAACATAAAGGACATATTTGACTTAAAATCTCTCTGTTTTATGTAGGGCTTGGTAAAGGCTAATGATTTAGGATGTACAGAGACAAAGGTTACTTCTTTGAATTTAAATTTTTTATTTTCAACGGGTGCTATATTCTCAGTCAGGAGGGTTATGCCAGTTTGTTGAATATTTATTAATTTTGGCTTCAACTGGTTGTGCGTAAATTCTTAATTAAATTGTAAAATAATTTCATGTTGCGCATACTTCTTTGTAACTTGTTGAGGCAAATGTTAGTTCAAAGAGTGTGATCAGTAGTTGACAGAGTAGATTAGAGTGTTGTTTTTGACTAAAAAGATGGTGCCACAAGGGTCACCCTCTCCGCTCGGTGGAGCCCAGCCTGGTCCTCCCACACCATTGAGATCAAATTCTGGTTCGTTGAGTGGTCAAGGGAGTGGGATGCCTTCGCATAATCCATTCCTGTCTCCCCATAACCAGTTCAATAACATGAACATGCTGGGGAATGCAGTCAATGTTTCGTCTTTGCTCCAGAACTCACTTGGTAATGGTGGCCAGAGTTCTGGACTCTCTGTTCTTGGGAAGCGGCGGCTTGTTGAAAACGGGGCAGAATCTGATCCATTTTCTGGCGTAGCAAATGGGACAGGAATTAATACATATCCATATATGTGTGCGTCTGTCACTACCAACCCTAACTCATCAGGTCAAGTTCAAGGGCAACAACAACAATTCCCGAATGCTTCTGGCAACCAAATATTGGCTGACCAGCTACACACCCAGCAACTTGATACTCAGTATTTTCAGCATAATCAGAAACAGTTGCAGCAATTTTCCGTTCCTGGCAACCAACAACAGCGGCATACATTTGATACAGAGCGAGCTGAACTAGGAGGGGTTGGACCTGTTAAGCTGGAGACACAAGCAATGAATGATCAAACACCACAGCAATTGCAAGCTTTGAGGAATCTTGGTACTGTGAAATCCCAACAAATGCAAAGTATGAGAAGCTTGGCACCTGTCAAAATGGAATCCCAACAACCAGAACCGTCTTTCTTTTTAAATCAGCAACAGCAGCAACTCCTACTGAGGCAGTCTTCTCAAGCTGCTGCAGGTGCACAAATGTTGCATCAACAGAGACTTATGCAGATCCAGCATCAGCAACAACAGCGAGACTTGAAACCTATGCCTCAGCAAAAATCTCAGCTACTAGCACAATTTCAACCACAGAATTTGCCTATTAGGTCTTCTGTAAAGCAGGTGTATGAGCCTGGGATGTGCGCAAAACGGCTAACACATTATATGCATCAGCAGCAGCAAAGACCCGAAGTGAGACATTATATTCAAAAGTTTTTTTTACTTGTGCAGAAAAGCAAAATTTAGGAATGAGTCTTTTGTTTGATTGAGGGCGTGCTTATGAATAACATTTACGCGATATGTTTTGTAGGACAATAACATTGAGTTCTGGAGAAAGTTTGTTGCCGAAAATTTTGCACCAAATGCCAAGAAAAAATGGTGCATTTCAATGTATGCAAGTGGCCGCCAAACTACTGGAGTTTTCCCTCAGGTCCGATTAGATGGTAGACATTTTTATTAGTCTAAATTCTGTAAGGACTCCCCCAGTCCAAATTTATGCCATTATTATTTAACAATTACAGCGAGGGCTTTTATTTAAAAATATTTTTAATTTCCTAAAGGGATTAGTGTCTGTTTAGCATAGCATTAATCATTTCGAAACCTATATTTTTGCAGTGGCTCTCAAAATTGGCAATTTACTTTGTCTGCATGAATACTGACTGGGACTTGTGATCTATCATTGTTTCCATTTATGTAGGATGTTTGGAACTGTGAAATATGCAACCGCAAGTCGGGTCGTGGATATGGTATGTATTTCTTCTGTGCTTTGAGATCTGATTGTGTAGTACGATAAAAGTACTTATATTTGGATTTTATTTAAAACATATACAAATTAGAAATAAAGTATTTCTAACCAAGTTAATTTTTTTATTCATCTGATGGAACCGTAGCTGAACTGTACGGCATTGTTGTTAGTAATTTTGGTATCAATGAAGTCATTTGTGATATGACAATTTCTGGTCAATAAGTTGACCTTAAAATAAGAAAAATTATCTTCTAATAAAGTAAGATTTGGTAATAAATCCCTGAAACATGTAAAGACTCTTAAAAATTAGAAACCAAGTTAGGAACATTCAATTTACCTACTTAGATATCTTATTCTTTGTAGCTGAATCAGTGGGCTACGCCACTGCAGCTTGAGGTGCTTTTTCAGCTTCACCTGGATCCAACCAATTGAGAGTTTTGTGATTGAATAGCCAATTCAGGGCCGAAATAAGCAAAGTAATATAACACAGGTTGCATATATAAGTAGCATTGTATCAAATGATCCCAATTTTGGACACGTGATCAATGCCACCAACATTGGTGGTGATTATTAATTATTTTTCCAATTTTGGTTCTTTTTTTACTTATACTTCAGGTCATATGTTTGAAAACAGTTTTATATAATGTGAAACATTTTTTATATAATAATGCTTGCAATATTTTCCATGTATCTATCCGGTGGCATTGCTGATGTGGCAAATTGTAATTACTTTTCTGAAAAATATGTATGTATGTATATGTGCTTTTAAATTTTTCCATATATCTATATTAGTACCAGTTGAACACTGATAAACCAAATGAAACGGCCATTGTGAAACAGCCAAATGAAACAACCATTAAATAAGAGCACAGAATGCTATGTGACAATGATTCACCAGAAATATTGAAAAAAAACCTTGAAATCTTTTCAGGTCCTTCTTTTATCTCCAACATGGGCTATATTTATTACTAAATAAGTGACCAAATAATCGTAACCTGAATTAATCATTCTAATAGGCAAACAACTTAAAATGTTTTAGCTAAAAACACTTTCCATTCTCGCAAATGGACTATATTTACTAATAAAGTAATGTTTTAAAAGTTATATATGATGTACACGATCTTCCTTATTACAAATATCAAATATAAGTACCATATTAATTGAAAGATGACAGCCAATTTCGATCAGCCATCAAAATTTTGACAGTGATTATGTGTGTAGAAATGAAAATGTTGATAATAATTGTGTGTGTAGAATTTGTTGGAATTTTTTTTTTTCATCTAGCTTTATTTTTGTTTTTAATAATGGTATTGTTAACCAGAAACAAAATATAATGACAAAATAGGAAACTGAGTGTTTCTCACCTGTCCATGCTTTCTGTATATTGTAGATAGATGTAGATTATGAATTGAGAAGATCTGATCGTGGTTTAATGTTTAGAAGTCCACTGAAACAAGTTTATACAATTATCAACCCCGAACTCAACAAAAAGAATATGGGAATAAATAGAAGTAGATAAAGAACTACTTCAGATCTAAAGCTTGTTATACTTTCTGTCAGAGGCAACTGCTGAGGTCCTGCCTAGACTATTCAAAATAAAATTTGAAAGTGGTACTATGGAAGAGCTACTCTATGTTGATATGCCGAAGGAGTATCAGAATTCGTCTGGGCAAATTGTTCTGGATTATGCGAAAGCAATTCAGGAGAGCATCTTTGAGCAACTTCATGTTGTTCGTGATGGGCAACTTCGAATCATATTTTCACCTGACCTCAAGGTTGCACTCTAAACAAATGGCTTCTGTTAATTTGTTTCATATTTATAGAAATGTGGTTGATTTACTATCTCCGTTTCATCAATTTGTTAGATATGCTCCTGGGAGTTCTGCGCTCGGCGTCATGAAGAGCTTGTTCCTAAAAGATTGCTGATACCTCAGGTTTGTGATTCGGAACTCAAATTTGAATCTCTATGGTTGTGTGAGTGTTTATGTCTGCAGATAGTGCAGTTTTCTTTTGAACTGTGGTTGTTTGAGGCACATGTTTTTACATTTATAAATTCTTTGGGTGACAGTGTGACGTATGTGTACTTGATTTTTCAGTTACCTCTGATAATGGTATATAATATAAATGATATTCACTTGACATCTTGAGAGTTCTTATTTGAAGTCCGTTCCATGTGACATATTGGTTACCTAGTCTTTGCAATAGTTGTGTTTTCAATGAGATAATGATAGTTGGAAGATAATAATCTAGCTGTTGCGTACCATATCGTGAGATTGGGAAATGAAGAATATTAGTCCCACATGAAGTTCATGAATGAGTGATTGTCTAATTATGAGCAAGGATGTTCAGCTTCCCATCCCTTCTTTTTTTATTAAAAAATGATTTTCCTTTTCTGTTATCTTAAGTTGGAAGAAAATGAATGAAAGTGAAAGCGGGACAAAGAATATGGATTTAGTTGAAGTGATGATATGAAATCTTGGATGTACTGTCCTAGATAGTTATTGTGGTCTCAGGTCCGTGGGTGCATCTTTTTGCTGAAAAAAATTGATTGTTTTTTGTGGCTTTGGGGATTTCTGAAGTCAAATATACCTGGTTTCGGGTTTCTATCTTTTGGGGCCATTTTACCCTCAAGGTTTTTTGAGTCTACTATTTGTTGGTTTCTAAATAAGTTCCCCTGTGGTACACTACCATATAAGCTTTTTTTAAGCACATCATACTTTGTTTTATGAACACTGCAGGTTAGCCAACTTGGGGCTGCTGCCCAAAAATACCAGGCAGCTACCCAGAATACATCAGATGTCTCTGTTTCGGAGCTTCAAAATAACTGTAATATGTAAGTTCTAGTTGCTTCCATCTTGTTCTTAAAGTTTTATGTAGCCTACACATTCGAGTGTAGGATAAATATATCATATATGTGTATATCGTTATTAAAGATGATTGCACCTAAGACTTATTTCATTATAAAAGAACAAAGGAAGATAAATTGTTCCTGACTGGACGAGATAGATAGTCTTAGGCTCTCTCATATACCAAAATACATATGCTTCAAAACTTGTATAGATACACATTTACCTATCTATGATTCGGCAAGACACATCCTCGAAAGGGATGTGGTTGGTTGGTAAGTTTGCCTGTACGGGGTGCTTCCATATTGAAATGCATTGAGTTCTCTTGATCTGTATATTGTTGCATCTCACATAAACTAGATCTAGTCTATCTGTTTTAGATGATATAGAAATGATATGATGAATAGGTTACTGTAATCATTGTTTTATCCTATTCATTTATCAAATAATGTATATATTCTCTCTTTCTAAAAATTAACCTGTTAAATAATATTTTGACCTTCTCAATTATGTAGACAGTTAAATAAGCGAATAAGCGGGAATTATTGATATTACTTTTCTGTTGAGTTATGCTTGCCGCATCTTTTAAACACTGGGGGGGCAAGCATGAAAGAATAAGGGCCTGTATGGCATGGCTTACGAAAAGTCAAAAGGAGCTTTTGAGATCAAAAAGTTGATTTTGGACCTGTTTGGCTAATTTTGTTAAAGTGCTTTTGGTCTCTGATGCTTGGACTCTTTGAAATAGTCGGAATACTTGTCTCAGATATGACTCGACATGAGTATGGGTATAGAATGTGTCAGATTCTCCAAATTTCAATCGGATATTTTGTCGTTTTTGCTTCTACCTTTTTTTTTTCCTCTCTCTCTCTCTCCTGTTTTCGCTCTTTATAAACCTAGCATCGCTGCCAAGAGGATGCAGAAGGACGGAGGCGCTAGGTTTTCCCTTCTTTTTCTTCTTCTTTCTTTTTTCTTTCCATCTTATTCTTTTTTTCCTTCTCTCTCTCTGTAAGGATGGTTTAGGGTTTCGTTTGTATAAAATAAAAATGGGTTTCATATAATATTACTTAGTGCTTCACTAGGTCCAAATTACAATCCATTCCTTCATTTTCTATTTTATATAACATTTAGTAATTCGCATGTTTGAAAACAGAACCCCTAAAGTCTATTTTATCCGTCTTAATCTCTTATTCAATACTTATTTTCTTTTTTATTAAAATTTTTTTTTTGGTTTATTCAAAATGACATTTTGGATTAGTAAAAAATTTGAAATTTGAAAGACGTACCCATGTCCGAAATTTGGATTTTTTTTAGCAATGTTCCCGTATTCTATATTTTAGAAAATAAAATATTTGACACTTAGATACGTACCCGTACTCAATACTCGTACCCGAGTCGGAACATCATAGCTTTTGGTAGTTTAAAGAGCTTTTAGAGGAAGCTGATTCAACGTGACCTACACATTCGAGTGTAGGATAAATATATCATATATGTGTATATCGTTATTAAAGATGATTGCACCTAAGACTTATTTCATTATAAAAGAACAAAGGAAGATAAATTGTTCCTGACTGGACGAGATAGATAGTCTTAGGCTCTCTCATATACCAAAATACATATGCTTCAAAACTTGTATAGATACACATTTACCTATCTATGATTCGGCAAGACACATCCTCGAAAGGGATGTGGTTGGTTGGTAAGTTTGCCTGTACGGGGTGCTTCCATATTGAAATGCATTGAGTTCTCTTGATCTGTATATTGTTGCATCTCACATAAACTAGATCTAGTCTATCTGTTTTAGATGATATAGAAATGATATGATGAATAGGTTACTGTAATCATTGTTTTATCCTATTCATTTATCAAATAATGTATATATTCTCTCTTTCTAAAAATTAACCTGTTAAATAATATTTTGACCTTCTCAATTATGTAGACAGTTAAATAAGCGAATAAGCGGGAATTATTGATATTACTTTTCTGTTGAGTTATGCTTGCCGCATCTTTTAAACACTGGGGGGGCAAGCATGAAAGAATAAGGGCCTGTATGGCATGGCTTACGAAAAGTCAAAAGGAGCTTTTGAGATCAAAAAGTTGATTTTGGACCTGTTTGGCTAATTTTGTTAAAGTGCTTTTGGTCTCTGATGCTTGGACTCTTTGAAATAGTCGGAATACTTGTCTCAGATATGACTCGACATGAGTATGGGTATAGAATGTGTCAGATTCTCCAAATTTCAATCGGATATTTTGTCGTTTTTGCTTCTACCTTTTTTTTTTCCTCTCTCTCTCTCTCCTGTTTTCGCTCTTTATAAACCTAGCATCGCTGCCAAGAGGATGCAGAAGGACGGAGGCGCTAGGTTTTCCCTTCTTTTTCTTCTTCTTTCTTTTTTCTTTCCATCTTATTCTTTTTTTCCTTCTCTCTCTCTGTAAGGATGGTTTAGGGTTTCGTTTGTATAAAATAAAAATGGGTTTCATATAATATTACTTAGTGCTTCACTAGGTTCAAATTACAATCCATTCCTTCATTTTCTATTTTATATAACATTTAGTAATTCGCATGTTTGAAAACAGAACCCCTAAAGTCTATTTTATCCGTCTTAATCTCTTATTCAATACTTATTTTCTTTTTTATTAAAAATTTTTTTTTGGTTTATTCAAAATGACATTTTGGATTAGTAAAAAATTTGAAATTTGAAAGACGTACCCATGTCCGAAATTTGGATTTTTTTTAGCAATGTTCCCGTATCCTATATTTTAGAAAATAAAATATTTGACACTTAGATACGTACCCGTACTCAATACTCGTACCCGAGTCGGAACATCATAGCTTTTGGTAGTTTAAAGATCTTTTAGAGGAAGCTGATTCAACGTGATTTCCCCTAAAAGCACTTTTGGAATGAGAAGCGCTTTTAAATATTAGTTTTCAAACAAAAATTAAGATAGTTTCTTCCAAAAGTTCTTCAACAAGAAACAAAAATAAAAGCAAAAGTCATGCCAAATGGGTCCTAAGGAAATTATTTATACCAGTTTTTGGCCAACAATCACTTTTGAAGTGCATATCTGGTCAGTGTGCTTTTATTTTGTTGTCAAGTAGGAAGTTGGATTCTTGTTTGTGAGCAACATTCACTTGATGAATTAGGTTGGCTGCATGTGGTGTTTTAAATGCAATTGTTAACACATGAAAAAAAAATGAAAATATGTTGGAAGTCAAGCAGCCATCCCAGCATGGTAATCTGGTGAGAGTGGGCATTATGAAAAAAGTTCTTTTTTATTTATTTGTCAAAATATGGTCACTAGTTGTAATGATTGTAGGTCAAATGTTGTTTACCCTGCTATTGTTCAATTAAATTCAGGATTCAGATTTGCTTCAAGTTATTGCTGCTTCTTGTTATCTATCATTCTACTACCATTTTTTTCTTCCTTTTGACTCCTGTAATTGCAAAGAGGTCGAACTTAACTGGCTTCCCTTTAGCTTTCTGCCTATCACTAATTGAATGCATTGACATATCATTGAGTTGAATTTGGTATAGAGTGCAATGTTGTTTGATTTTAGGCTCTTAGTTTTGGAACTTCTGATGGCAATTTACAGGCCTCAGCAATATTTCTCTTCAATCTAAAAGAATGAGATGGCAGAGAATAATTAGAGTAGGTGGCCATGTACGAATGCTCATAAGCCACTGAATCATTGTTCAATGATTGCTAAAGTTGTGCTATTTCTCTGTTCTTTTTTGTTTGTTTGTTTGTTTCGAGAAATCTAGTTACGAGATACAGATGAACAGTTGCTCTCACTAATTACTTGAATGCTAGTTGCCCTTCAGAGATCAAAGATCTCAGCAGTCTGGAGAAACTTTGTTATGATGACCAAGTTTATCGTTTAAAACTGGTTTTGCAGGCCTTTTTGATTACGACGTGCTAGGTTTTCTCATGTTCCCTGGCAATGTGAAAAACATAAATTTCGATATGCAATTGTTTCCTGTCTTGGAGCTGTATAGAAAGGTTTTATGTTTGTGTAGGGAACTATGTGCTCCTTAAAGAGTATTTTTGGCCGAACATATGTTTTATTATTTTAAATTTAATGGTCTACTATCTTATAGAAGGGCTGCCTAATTTCATGTTGTTTCTTTCTTGCTTAAATAGGTAATGCATTTCTTTTGTATTCTCTTTTGATTAATAAAATGATCTTTACCTGTAAAAAAATAAAATTTGATGGTCTACTAGAGAATTGAGCAGCTAGCTGAATGATGAAATGTTTTGTGATCATTAACCTGTGATTTTATATTCAGGTTTGTTTCTTCAGCTCGCCAGTTGACCAAAGCCTTGGAAGCTCCATTGGTAAATGATGTGGGATATACAAAGAGATACGTGCGATGCCTACAGGTAGAGTGGACATTATATATTTTTTAAGTGAATTCCACCTTTCAAATACTGCAATCACTAGTTTAACCATTTTTCTCACCTCTTTGGTAGAATCGTGTGGTAAATAGTGTATATAGTTTAGACACAAACACGTCCGACATGCCAAGTTATAATTAATTGAAAAAAAATAACAATGGAAAACTACCTGGTTTGTCAATGGTGGCAGAGGGGCTACTCTATCGCTGATGCAGGGAATGGGCAATTCCCTCGGTGGTCCAAGGAATGGCTATTTCTTCGCTCACAGGAGGAATGGCATTGCCTGCGGAAGAGGGGTTCTAAAACCTAGAAGAGGAAAACACATTTTTTCCCTTTCCAAACCGGACCTTTTGTTTTTGAAAAGATCAGATACACATCTTACCCTTCTAGCTAATGAATAAAACAATAAGACAATAAGCCAATCAGCGTTTTCAAAACATTTTAAAATTTTAAGCAATAAATTGCTGTTTAATTCCTAACTTCCCCTTGTTCGGGCACTTTTCTAAAGAATGGGCATGCTTGTAGCGTGTAGGATATGCCACGTGCCTGTGTATGTGCTTCATATAGATTCTTCAGAGAGGGAAAGCTGTTGAATGTCATGGTTTTATCTTTTTGCTTCTAATTTTGTCTTCCTTTGTGGTCTAAATAAGATGGAAAAAGTATTTAAACCTTTCACTTACATTCCACATCTGATATAAGATGGAAAAAAAATATTATTTATTAGAAAAATAGAACTAAATAGAAGTAAACTACTTTTTGACTGAACATTAACCTGGAATGACAGAATTTCCATCATGGTCAAGCTGAAAGTAAAATTTATTAGAAAAAAGCTGCTCTGTAGTTGTGTTGAAGAATGACTAATTGAACCATGAAATGACTTCTTTGTACTAGTTTATAATGATACTAATCTTGTATATGACTGTTTAGGACTAGCTATATGCTTATTTAGTAGCACTTCTGAATGATTGTTTACTTGATAACTTTGCAGATATCAGAAGTGGTAAATAGCATGAAAGATTTGATCGACTATGAAGAATGACTAATTGAACCATGAAATGACTTCTTTGTACTATTTAGGACTAGCTATATGCTTATTTAGTAGTACTTCTGGATGATTGTTTACTTGATAACTTTGCAGATATCAGAAGTGGTAAATAGCATGAAAGATTTGATCGACTACAGCAGTGAATCTCACGCTGGTCCTATGGGTAAGCTAGATTCTTTTCTTTTGCTGTTGTTTCTTTCCTCCTGTTCCCTTTATACATCATAGAATGGGAGAGTTTGAAGATAAAGGGGAAGAAGAGCGTATTACGGAGTTCCAAAATTACTTGTATGTAATGTATAGCTAGAGACTACATATATATACTGAAAGGAAAATACAGGGTGCTGCAGTTTGTGCTGTGTTTCATGTCATCTAATCATGAACTAAGCAGAAACATTTATGAGTAAACATATGTAGCTAAGATGATGATGTTGACGTAGATACAAGGTTAAAGAGTATAGATCAAGGACCAATGATATCCATGACAAGTTACAATATTATTTATAGCGGATAAACAAAGAGAAAATATCCTGAGATAGTAAATGACTTTTGATAACCGAGAGCAGAGGACTAGATACTATAAGATTCTTTGATAAAGGAAATGACCCTAGATAAAGCTAGATGGAGGAACAGGATTTTACTACAGATGGTAGACACAGCAAAATTGTGTACTGAGAATTTTGGACATACTTTATGAGACAGTTAGGATGTGGATAGTGTGTCATGGGATAGTGTGTCATGGGGAATTGTCGACACATTCGTTTGCCCCTTTCAGTGTATGCTGTATGTTGATGTTAAATGAAGATCTTTTGTAGGTTGCAGAATAAGAAATTGAGCATTTTTCGGAATGCAGAGATTGTTCTCATTTGTAGTCTTCTCTTTTGTGTTTCACATATGTTTTTCGTTTACTTCTTTTTGGGGATTTTCCTTTCCTCTTGTTGCACCTTTAGGTAATTTTGATGTAATAGCATCCTCTAATTACTTCCTTATTGAACTGATGCAGTCAATTTATTGATTGTGCCATCTTAACCCAACATTGCAATATAGATCTCACACGGTTCATTTTGTTTCTTTCCAGATCCTTGTTTTATTGAACTTTTTCCAGACCACAAGGCTCTAAAAGTAATGTAGATTTGGAGTAGTGAATGTTTACAAGCCATATTAAATGCTAGAGATGACCAGGAAGGGTGCATGCTAGAGAACATTACATATAAATTTTGAGATTGTCACAATGACTGTTTATCGTGAGACGGGCAACTTAAAGCTCCATATTGGCATCTCTTCTTGAGGTGGAAACTTTCCCGGAAAGGAAAAGAAAGAAACCTTCGGCTCTGATAGAAATACTTTAATTTTTTTATTAAAAATTTGAGAATCAAAAGGAAGATTGTATGCTCTCACTTTCTTGGTTAGGAATACCTATCATGGATGGAGAGCATCCCACATCTACAAAATGTATTAGATCAACCAATTCTGTAAATTATGGTTTCATCTTTGTAATTGATTACTCCGGCTTGAGGGTTACCATCCAATTTGTTATCTTACACCGTTCCATGTGTCAAAAATTGTTTATGCACATACTGTTTAAGTTACTGAGCATGGTTATTTTTTCTTCCCAGAGAGCTTGGCGAAGTATCCTCGGCTGAATCCTCCGCCTGATTTTCTTGGTGAACCTCAACAACTGGAGGGCCGGCTACAGCAGCAACAGCAACAGCAACAGCAAATAATGGTTCAGAATTCGAATGATGATGGTTCTGTCCGGGCAGTGCGGCAGCAGATTGCTTCTACCAATGGAGGCATGCTGAGTGTCAGTAATACTCTGAACTCAGTCCCTGTAACATCCTCTGCTGGTACCAAGATTGGGCTTGTTCACCAAAACTCAATGAACTTTAGACGGCAAAATATGATGTCTAATATAAACAGTCCTTACAGAAGCAATAATGTGCAGTTGCCATCCCCCGTTTCTTCCAATACCATGCCACAACCTCAAACCAGTACTCCCTTTCAATCACCAATGCCGTCATCATCCAATAATCCACTGCAACAAACTTCACATTGTGGCTTATCAGGAGCACACACGAATTTGAATTCACCAAATATTTCAATGCAGCAGCCGGCTCTTCCTGGGGATGCAGATGCTAATGACTCACAAAGCTCTGTTAAATTTTTTTTAGAAGAAATGATGTCTTCCCAGCTTGGCGGAAGCAACTTGATAAACAAGGGGACGGTGAGTAATGATGCGAAAAACGTCAATGTACTGCCATCGTCCAACAATAATAGCGGTTTATGTGGAAGGAATGGTGTTGTAGGAAACAGAGTGGCCAATGGTAACCTAAGTATTGGTGGTGTAGGTTTCGGAACCATGGGCAATGGGCTCGGGCAATCTGTTATGGCGAATGGGATTCATGCAACACTAGACAATAACTCTATGACTATGGATAGAAGAGCAGGCATGACAGTGGCCCAAGAGCAGAGCATGAATCGGCGGCAGCAGGACTTGGGGAATCAGCTGCTCGGTGGACTTGGAGCAGCCAATGGTTTCAATGACCTTCAGTTCAATTGGAAGCCATCCCCTTGATAAATTCTATGTTTTGCTGGCATTGGAGTAAAACATAAGAAGGAAATTAAGGAGTTCCCTTTAAGAAGATGGGAAAATACATGACGATAAAAGGATAAATGCTTTCAGGACTATCTTCCCTGACGTAATAAGTTGAGGAAAAAGGAAGGCACAAGGCAATGTGTTTCATAATTGAAATGTTACATCATCTTAAGGTTTCTAATTTCCTTCCTAACATGAATTCTTGTGGTTCTGTGACAACTGCTTATACATGGTAGCAGTTGATCCAAAGATAGCTGGCTTTGAATTAACCGAATATCTGCTTACTCCTTCATCGCCCTACATGCGAGTGTACATAAAGTTTTGATTTGCCTGGAAGCAAGTATAGTAGTCTACTATTGAACTTTCAAGATTTGGCCTTGAATTATATTACTCTTGTTTTGAGTATGCTTTTGTAGCCTTTTTTACAGTTGACATTTCTCTATAACAAACCATACATTATCAGGTGCTGCTTGTGTTTTGGCATTTCTGGGTAACTGATGAGAATTAGATGATACATCAATGCAGGATAAAGCTTAGAATGGACGAACGATGGATCGTTATGCAAGACATTGTTGGCTTAACGATACCAACCAATGCCAGGGGCGATGACAATTTTCAATAGCCAAGCATTTCCCACATTATTAAGCTCTTGCCAAATTGAGAGAAAATTTAACAGTTAAGCAAGGATAGATCTTTAAGCAAATATCGAACAAGAGTTGAGAAGAGAAGACAAGCAATTATAAGGTACATATATCCGCTTAAAAAAGTCGTGCATAGAAGTTTACAGTTACATATCTAAATATTGTTAAACTGGGTACATTAGCATAAAAATTTAAAGTTTCAAATTCGATCGTACATTACTTGTCTGTAATCTAACTACCTGAAAAAGAGAGTTAAAAAGTCACATACGACTCAAAAACAATCTTACTGCACCAAGTCTCTTTCTTCGTTCAACCAAATTATGAGTACTTTACCTCCACGCAGAAGTGACTATCAAGATTTTGTCTTCCCATCCGAAGTGGAGTGCCCCCGTCTCCTCTTTCAACTTGAATCTGTCCGAATACTCCTTTATGACCTTCCGAATTTCAATGCTCACATTTTGACTAATTGGGCAAGAAGTGAAACCAGCCATACTCATCCTTGCTCTCCATTTTCCAGCAACCTCGTACCTCTCTATCCTTTCTTCCCCCTCACATGCAACAATGTTAACGATATCACGTGCCAGACAATGTTTTTCTACATTCATTCGGTCCTCACTATTCCGTGGGAGAGTTGCATCAAGAGATTTAAACACAGCAGAGTAGTAATTGTAGGCTTCAGCAAATCTTGGTAAGAATGGGGTAGTGTTCGTATTCACGTCCTGTTCAACGACAGTAACTAGTTTTGGATTCAAGCCTTTGACCATCCGGAGAAGCTGATCCCGTAGGTTTACTGTCGACACACTCTCGTCCGGCATGTGGTGAAGCTGGAATGCAAAGTTCACGATGAGAGCTTCACCGGGTTGGCAGTTGAGCATTGATGGAGAAACTAAAGCAGTTTGAGCAGCCACAGCTTGAAACTCAAATGAAACCTGAAGATCTTCTGCAAGTTGCTCGAGTCGTCGCCCAATGACTCTTAGGCCTCCTACAGAACGTTGAACTGATTCAGGGTCATCCACTCCAGTTAGTCTAACGTGTGGTCGACTACCGGGAATTTTAGCCATTGTTTGCAGCAATGTGTAATACTGACTTCCTTGGTTAATGTCAAAATCTATGATATGCACTCTCTTTTCATCTTTAAATGCCTCTAAAATTGCACCATTTGCTGCCGTGAATCCAAATCTGAAGCACGGGCAACCCTCAAAGAGGACTTGCATTGCAGAAAGTCGAAGAGAAGATGGGGGTTCTTTGCATTTTAGAGCTTTATAAAGACCCTTCCCAGAGGTAGCAAGCCGGGCTGTCAGTGCTTCTACCATATAGGCTGCAATCCTTTCAGACGGATCTCCCTGGATTGAGACCTTCTGCCTGAGATCATTGATCATCAATGATGCTTCCTCAAATTTCCCACCTTGGATGGCAGCAGCACATTCAAAAAGTAAGCGCTTTGGAGTTAGCAATGTAGCAATTGATAATTCCTTACTGCTGCTTATGCTACTAAGAATCGAATCTGATGACGAGGATTCTTTGGGTGATTCATGAAGCACTCCGTTAAGGGTCTGGCCTGACCATTCACCGTCTATTTCCATACTACGATCAGTAGCAAAAGCATCATCATCATCACCATTGAAAGCGTTGTCATCAAGAAGTGCCCTCTCGAGTTCTTGAACTTTTAACCTCATCTTATCTTCATCATAGTCTATAGCATCCAGACTTGGACCGCTTAAGTATTCTGATTCGTAATTGAAATTATATGTATCATGTCCCGAAGCCACGAAAGAGGAGGAATGTGATGGGTAAAATGCATTTCTCAGGACATCAGAGTCAGATGTGTGTACAAGTTCTTCTGATGGGGAGTCGAGGAAATACTTTGGATTGTAGCTCTCACTGCTGCAAGATTCAGTGGTATAAATTAATTCGTGATTATCTGAGTTAAATATAGATGTCGATAAGCCAGAGGAATCATTGTCGTCCCTCAGTGAAATAAGTTCATGATTTCCAAATAATGCAGCAGGTCTGACTAAAGACATGGTTCACTTTTAATTCTCAGTTATGGAGGGAAAAGAAGGTTCTTGTATCATTCAAAGATTTATCCCGTCTTGGATCAAGTATCAACGACAGACTCTTATACTTGTGTCAACAGGGGCTAAATCTTCCCCCGAACAACAATAAACCAAGATACGCAGTATATAGCTGGCGTAGTTGAATTCCTGGATCATCCATAAGAAGCAAAATTGAAGTAAAACAAACTAAAAATCGGCGCATGTGTGTGATTTAAAAAAACATTATATTGTCTATGCATGTATATGGATATAAATAGCTAAGAAATTGAATTAATCAGTCTTCAATTTTATCTGAAAGAATACTTGATTATCAAGTGGATATCTACTTGTGAACTTGGAAGCCCAGCTAGAGTAGTAATTATTTTTTGCGACCAGGAGGTTGCATTTAAATGTATGCTAGTGAAACAGAACATTCTCCTAAGCAAAAAGTAGTTTCCAAATCAAATACAGTGGCTATTCTTATTTCTCTGCATAAACATGGTAACGACACTCCAACTCTTCGATCCACCAGTACAGATAAAAATAAGTCTATCTGCTATCAAGAGGAAAGAAAAGTGTTCAATTTGATTAGGCTCCTAACAAGCATGGTAACAACACCTCAAGATCATGTCTAAAACTAAGATCTAAGCAATATACATGCTGTACTAAAAACCTCGACCAATTATTTAAATATCCGCGGCCAATTTCAGAGGGATTCAATAAATTTAACATGCATAAGATCCAAGGTGCTTGAGCTAAAATTTGTTTTAAACTATTAAGCATAGAAATCCCCAGTTTCTTCCTCTTAAAATAGACTTTCCATTTCTGATAATAACATCTTAGCATCTGTCATAATTGTAAATCATTAGCCGTGCACCGCTGAGAAACAGGCAATCAACAGAAGATGAGGATTCAACATAATTTCTATGTTCAGATAACAGATTATCTCTAAAAACATGTAATCTAAAGGAAATACGATTATAAGCAACAACGGTAAGAAAAATTACCTTTGAAACCCCAAGAGAAAAGGAAAATCAAGATGAGCCAGTATGGATCAAATCAACAAAAATAATCTGCAAAATTCCATAGAAGAACAGATATATATGAACTTTTGAAATGGAAAATTATGGGTTTTGAGTTTTGACTATAACAAAGGTAAACCAAGTGTATATCCTTTTATTACATCATTTTGAGACTAAAAAATTGCAGATTGTAAGGTTTGGTTTGGTGCAGAAGCAACAATCAAACATAATAAAACAACTCAAAGTCCAGAGGAAAGTAACCCTGTAAATAACAAACAAGAATCCAAAAAATTCCAGGAGATTGAACTGAAAAATTCCAGGAGAAAAAAAGGGCTAAATAAATAATATGAACTGATCAAATTTCCAAGACTAGAAGAAAAAGAACATTCCAAGAAAAGTCCATCTTCTAGATATACTGGAAAATAATGAAAACTTACCCCCAACTACTCTGACTTTTTACCTTTAAATTTTCTGAACTGTGTCTCTGATGGAGTTGTTTGTAATCGTAAGTCTCAATTTTAAAGCAAGGTGGTGTAACCTCCACAGAGGTCTGATGAACGCACAACTTGATCGATTAATCCTGACCGTTAATCACAAACCGTGTATGAGTCAGCTAAACATTATTTCTCTTTTGATTGATTTGTGACGAGATTTGATATAAATAATTAGCAAATAAAGTTACTATCTTTCATTGCATTATTATTGTAGAAAAGTTCCATTTTTTTAATATTTTCACCCTTAATTTCATCCTTGATTGCAATTTGCACAAATCATCATTTTCATCCGTTCCCTCCCAATTTCTTAACAAAAAATTGTGAAATGACGATATACCATATTATTTAAATAAAACAATAACAAATAATAATAATAAAAATAAAAAATAACTAATTACAATCATAGTCCTAAACTTTTTAAGAAAGTACAAGCTAGTCCCAAATAAATTATTACAAAAATTGGGGGGTGGGGGTGCGGGGTGGAGGGATTCTCTTCTTCCTCCTCCACCATTGCAACCAAACTAGAGGATAGCTTATTTTCAATTCAGCCAAAAATGCTAATCAGATTCTACTGCGCCCCCATCACCACTGTTTCCTCAGACACAATCGCCATCACCACCATTGACACCCAACAATCCTCATCGACAGTACTAAGAACCTAATTCTACTAGCTCTGAGATGATTCGATTGTTGGATGAATTTATTTGCTTTTAAAAGCAGATGGCCAACTTAATTTCTTGGAAAGCTAATGAATTATGTGTAATTCAAATCCTCTTTTACAACGTATGAAAAAATTATTTTTTGAAAAATAAAAAATGAACGTTCCTTGGTTCGACATAAATCTTGCCTTTAAGCCTTATTTGTCACCCATTATTTGGAAAATTAGCCCCTGTTTGTCAACCATTCTTTCCTATTCTTTAACATTCTTTTTTCTATAATACTCATTTTCAATCACACATTTTTTATTAAAATAATATTATACGTAAATCAAAAACCTTTCCTTCTTTTTTTACCACACATTTCAACATCAATCACTATTTTATAATACATTCTTCCCAAATAATGGATGACAAGCACACTCTTAAAGAGTTTTGAATATTATATTTTGGAGAATGTGTGGTTAAAAAGTAAGAAAATTTTATTGGTTTGTGTGTAAAATATTATATTGTGTGATGTAAAATGATAATATAGCAAACAATTTAAACTTTTAAAAGGTAACAAACAAGCTCGAAGTTGACGTAAACTTCTGAGTTGACGAATTAGACTAATTTGAGTTCTTTGAAGAGTTAAAATCCGTGTGACCTGACTTGTTAAAAAATAAGTCACAATAGGCCACATAATTCTATATATGGACAAGCCACATAATTTTTTCCCTCTACTTAAAAAAAAAAAATGATGTAATTATGACGTCAGAACTACGTAATTACTGTTGGGGGGGAAAATCTAATAGTCTGAAAGTATTGTGGTCCCCACTTTTGGTCAATTTATGTTCAATAAATATAATTCTGGTATTCCAAAACCGCGTGATGGTGCAAAATGGCCAAACTATGGTAGGGGCGGGACCCTCGACGATAGAAACGAACTCATTCATTCTAAAAATGTCACCTCAGAGCATTGAAGGAAGACTCTTTCAACACCAATGCAAAGTACTCTCAAATCATGATCTTGAATAAGAATTCTACAGCCATAGATAGAATTTCCATAAAAATACCACTAGATCGATCAACAATGATCTCGTATCCAGTCATTCGTTCCATTTGTAAAATATTCGTTCGAAGTTAATTGAAAAGTAGATTAGTATCTTTTGATAAACTTTATTTTAAACTTTGTCAAAAATCCACCATAAGTTTCAATTTTTCACATTACTTATTGTTATACTAACATTTACATAGCATATATTAGCCAAAATAAAGACCTTGCCTTGAAGATTAAGTACAAAGCGTATTCTCTTAAAATCATCGATACATTTTATCTAGTAGAAAATCTTAGCCGTATCACTATAATTTTAAATACTTAAAAATGTGACATGATGCAAAAACAAGGTAACGCTAACGTTGACTCTCATGATCGCCCCGTCTTTGAATTTCATTTACATATCTTTTATAAATGCTTAGCCAAAATTAGACTAAAAGGTAATGAAATTTAATATTTAATCAAAATTAAATCATCTCTACAAAATCAACTCGTTTAAGATATCATAATACATGTTTTCGACTACCATTTCCTCTTCTTGAGGAATAATATAATCCAAGAAAGTTTCGAACTCAAACCTAACTACTCCAATCATCTACGAAGAATTGTCTTTTTCTAAATAACTTTTATTGTGGTTAAACACACATTATGACTTCTCTTATTTGTCTAAAATGTGAAACGAATATTTTGTCACTATTTATTAGATGGAAATAGTGACTATATATTATCCTTTCATTTTCAATTATCAACTCTTAATCAATTTCTTATCCAAAACAAGAGATGGTGAGGAAGTTTTGTGCTTATTCAACGTAATCAAGGATTTATTTAATTATTTTCGATTTGACTTATGCTACCAACCATTTAAACAATGTTATAAACAAGCTTATGGATCATTTGTTCTTATCCAAGATAATAATTCTTGATGCCTTGGGATCTTTATTTTTTATTGCAAAGTGATCATTATACCAAGTTATCACTTAAGTTTTGAAATTGGGATTAGGTTTGAGTTTGATTGATATCTTCATTAGATTATAGATGAATTCTCGGTAGGAAATTTGTTTATGACTTGATCGATAAGATAGAATCTATTACGTACATGGGACAATATAAAAAATATTAAAATTTTGTAATATATTGCCAAGTTTAATATAATGTTTTGTGCAAAATATGCTATTTATATCTTAAAGGGAAGGACATGATATAGAGCACACTAGTTTTATTTTTTAAATTATATATGATGCATAAGTACAAGTGAACTCACAGAAATTAAGCCTCCATCTAGAAAAATTTATAAATTATTTATAAATGACTAAACGTTATTTTCAACAATATATTTCAATGAACTTGCAATTACTATTCATATATTTAACACTCATTTATATCTATTTATAAATTAAAACGTTTATAAATATTTCCTAAAGGGAGGCTAAGTTTCAAAACAAGCTCAATTTAGAATTACGTATATATCTTGGAAAAATTATAAGTAAGTCTTAAATCGTTGTTAACATTGCAAATAGGTTCTCAATGTGTTTACAGATAAAGTTAGTCATCAATATTTCAATTTTGTTACTTCAATAGCATGGTGTTCTTGAATAGACAGATTTAATCTATTTTCATGTTAATATGTTAGTTTTTTGAAAAATTGATTCTATATTAATTTAAGTAAGAGTAATTGACACGAAAAGTTCATATCCAATATTCTCATTGTGCATATCGTTTCACTTTTTGTATTTACCTTTCATTGCGCATAACATCCTTGCTGTATGATTCCTTCCATTTGCAGCTAGCTCAATTAAATGGACGCATGCGACCTTTTTAACAAAAAATAAAAATAAAAAATCGGCATTTGATCCTTTCTTTCTAAAAAATAAAAAAAATAAAAAAGGAGGAAGAAGAAGAAGAAATTAATTTTTTTTTTAAAAGAGTAAAAAAAATAAAATTAAAAAGAATTAAAACATGTCTTCTTTCCCAACCAAACCCACCCTACCAGAGTCACCACCCGTTCCCTAACCTATCATCGCCACCAAAGTGATATCACAAAACCTGAGGGAGTTCCACAATCTCTTTCCGTTTTGTTACTTTTTGTTTTTTAAAAATATTTTGATTGTTATAATTAATTATATGTGAAAAGATATTGTGTTATTCTAAAAGGGGTTAAAAAGGATGAACGCGTCTTTGAAGAGTCAAATGGATGGAATGATCTTATGGTTCAAATGTCAAAAGTGAAATGATAGGGACAATTTGCACAAAGAGAATTGATAAAGAAGCTTTGTGCTGATTACTCAATTGAATAAAATAAAAAGAAATGAAAGATACAAGAAATCACACAATAAGAAAATCAAAACAAATTCAAACATAGCAATACACAAATGAAATCTAAAATAGCAAAGAAAAATTCATAAAAAACTTGTCAAGGAATATAAAAAATTGTAAAATCAAACACGCAAATGTCACATCACATGACTTTTTAGTTTTTATAGTTCAAGTCGATATTATTTGCCTTCTACATTTAAAAGTTTGAAGTTCCGCTTGATTTACAAAGACGGTTGATAATCAACTTGCTATATTTATGATAAACTAAAAACCTGATCAATTTTTTCCTCGTAATTTTTATTGATTTTAAAATTTGTTACACAATGCTTGCCTACATGTCCAAAATTTTATTTGTAATAGACATCTCATTATTCATTGTTCTATTATTTACTCAATAACCAACAACGAGCTTTATTTTTTAAGATTTCTCTCGAAGCCTAGTATGAAAAATGACTCATAGATAAATTACTTATTTGACAAATTTTTTTAACTTATTTTGTCAAACCATTTGAAATTGCAAAACCAAGATATAAATTACTAATTTTATTCATTAAAACTCATTTAAGCCATTTATTTTGTTTTCTAATGAAATTCTGATTTAGTGATTTATTTTAGTTTTTATTGCTGAAATTACAAACATATTTGGTATTCTTGGTAGAATGTGACCTTGGTTGGACACAGTAAGCTTTGGTGGGATGAAGACCGCTGTGGCTACTAAAATCAGGCCCAGCCCAATAATGAACATCCAATATTAGACTCAATAAAGGAACAAATTATATTCATCAAGTAATAGCCATGATCCTCAATCAAGAGCTAATGCAAAACTTCAAATGACTTTCAAAACAAAAACATCAAATTGATAGTCTAGATATTAAGATTAATTTAGAACTTCTTTAAGGTTCGAAAAAGGATATCGTGTGATAAACATTCCTCTTTTAGATGATTATAACGCATTTACTATCGTTTCACAACCAGAATAAATGGAAAGGTATGAAAAAATTGTAATTGAAGATATGTTAATTCAGGCATTAGAACTTAGAGGAAGGAAGAAATTCACTGCTGAGATATATAGAAGTGTCGTATAGTGAAGTAGGTGGTGATTTCTTCGAGAAAACGAACATGTCAAATGATTTAAAGCGAAATAATAGTATTAAAATTATTTTCGGACAATACATATTTTTCCTCAACTAAATATACGCAAAATGAGTACATGCAATTTAAAACAATTAAGGCTCATTTGACATGAGTTTTGAAAAGTCAAAAAGAACTTTTCAAGATTCAAAGGTTGCTTTTGGATCCGTTTAACTAATTTTATAAAAATATTTCTTTTAATTAGAAGAATTTTTAAAGAAAGGGGGTTCAATGTGACTTTTTTTTAAAAGCCTTCTAGAATAGGAATTTTTTTTATTTTATTTTTAAATAAAAATTAAGATAACTTTCTCCAAAAGCTCTTTTACAGAAAGAGAAAGTCATGCCAAACAGGGTTTAAGATGACTTTAAAAATATAATAGGTTAGTATCTATTTTGGGACTCGTGTGTGGTAGGTAAGATGTAATAATGCAAGCTATAATAACCGTTTCAACTTCCTCAAATATAAAATGGTAATTCATTATTGTAGTTAAGATTGTTGCATAATTGCATTCACCAACTTTTATCGATTACCATTTTAGAAGAATTGAAACAGTATAATAATCTGCTTATGCTTGCATAGTACACACTATTGATTATAGGTAAGATCAGAAATATCATGATTTTTTTCTTTTAATAGTGCTAAGGGCGATCTAATGATTCTAACAAAACTCGACTACATGGATAGCACAATAACTATGTCATTTAAAATAAACTCGACTACATGGATAGCACAATAACTATGTCATTTAAAATATGTGTGTGTGTGTGCGCGCGCGCGCGCAAAACCCTAACCAATTTTGCTTATAACAAACATAGAAGTATAGATAATTTTAGAGGGGCAAAGAGTCTATCTTCGAAGAATACAAAATAAAAATATATATGATTAATTGTGGAGAACCAATAAAATCATTATATACTTTGACAAATTCTCAATCTTCAATCAAGGTCGGTGTCTTTTAAAAGTCCTTAGCCCTTCGGAAAAGTTTGATTTCAGAGGAAATCCAACAAATGAAAATTGTATCTCTAAAACGTTTGTAAAAGACACAAGTAATCAATGCCGTTTGAAAATATAATTCGAGCATATATATTTATTTTGATTGGCGCTGGACATTTTCTTGCCAACTTAAACTAACAAGTGTCAATCAAAATCCTTTTGAACTAACACAACATTAATTGTACTGTGTTTGAAACCTCCTTTGCTCAGTCAAAATGTCACTTAGGGTGATTGTCCAAAATATCAAAAAAATTAGCTAAACTGTAACTATCTTAATCCATATACTTCACCTTAATTGAGAATTAGAGGTTTTGTTAACCGAAAACGAGAGGCAATCCACGATCAATATACATACAAAATGGCAACTAACTTGTACTTGGATATGAATTAAAACGTTATTTTAGCAAAGAATTAATGGGGTTGGTTTTACTTTTAACTAAATTTTAGCTAGAAAATGTCTAATTATATTCATTAAAATAATCTTAATTATGGATTACTTCATTTAAGATTTGATTATTTGCGCTAAGAATTTTTTTTAAGCTAAACAAGCAACTTTACTTGACTAGAGGAATAAATTTCCTTCAATTCTAATGCAATTTTGGTACTTTAATTATGAATAGTACATAAGTCACTCCATTAGGGTGTTTTTCTAACTTATATTTCCATCCATTTTTTCGTAAACTCGACTGATTAAATTCAAATAAATATAGTGTAGGTTTGCTTCTATTTTAGAGCATTTTCAAGAAACTTTACATACAAGATATTTTCTACTTTAGTTTCTCGTACTATAAGAGAAAATTATTATTATTGTATTTAGAAAGAAGATTGTTGAGAATAATTATTATTGTTGTATTTAGAAAGAAGGTTGTTATTTTCTTACGACGTTGAAATCCTTCTATACTTTTTCTCCGTGATTTTTATCCCAAACTAAATTAGACGTTTTCCACGTAAAATTCTTGTGTTCATTTATTTCCAGTTTTTCCTCAATATTAATTTTAGCTGCGGTCTAGCTCTCACGTTTTATTTCATAAAATTGTATAATGTTCATAGGTATTAAATTATTGTTCTCGTAGCTTAGTGTTGTGATCTACGAAAGCATTTTATAATGTTCATAGGTCTAGCTCTCACGTTCTATGTCATAACATTGTATAATGTTCATAGGTATTAAATTATTGTTCTCGTAGCTTAGTGTTGTGATCTACGAAAGCATTTTATAATGTTCATAGGTCTAGCTCTCACGTTCTATGTCATAACATTGTATAATGTTCATAGGTATTAAATTATTGTCCTTGTAGCTTAGTGTTGTTATCTACGAAAGCATTTTACAGAAATTAATGAATCTAACATCATAAGCAACTGTACTGTAACAAAATGCATTTATTGAAATATGAAAAAATGGGAAATATTTAGAAAGGCAGTTTGCAAGTTTTCCAGTATTTTACAATTCAATTAATGAGTAGGGATTTATATGTAGAAATAATTATATAAAGAAGAGGGTTTGATGGGAGTAGTCGAAAGTTGTTTGGCGAGGTTTATCAGTGTTCGTTGATGTGTTGCTTAAATTGGTTTCTTGGAAAGGTGAGATAAAAGGTATATTATAGTTTTCATTATAAAGACACTTGGAGAAGTATATATATACACACATCTATTTTTAGCTGTGCTAGTAATTGAAAGCTATTCCAAACCTTTCTATTCATGGTTGCGAGTCGTGTTCAGCTTCGGTGTGGTAACGATATATATATGTGAGTATATATATATAAATAGAAAGGTCGGGTCAACTTTACTAAGTAACAAACAGAATCCAAATTTAAAAACACAAATACAAATTATTTAATAAAATTTATTCACCAACGTATACAAATGATCAAAAGTAAATAATCGCAGTAAAATATATGCGAATTTCCTTTTAGAAAAAAAGTGAAATAATTTGAACAAGTTTGATTATATAAAAATAAAAATAAATAAAAAAATCGATAGCTTTGATAACCGTGTTCTCGATTTAGAACTACAAATTAAATCTAACACTTTGTTGTTGGTTCTAGTACACATTACTCAATTTACCTTAGGAAGGACCAAATTGAACCGCTCGATTCGATTCGAGTTCATTTTGGTTAGATTCAAACGGAATTTGTCTGCTCTTACTTTCTTTAGTTTATAATAACAATTTGCATGTTGCCTTTCCAGACTGCATGAAGATAATAGTAATGATAAAAATTTAAAAAAAAAAATAATAATTTACTAATGCGGTATAAATTATTTTATATCTCTAAACAATTTATTTTTTTTTATAAATTTATTTTGGGACAAATTCTCAAAATTATATTAATTAAGTTCTCTGATGATTAACAGGCACATCACCAGGGTTGGACACTGATTTTACACCAACCGTTGGGGATGTCTTGTATAATTGATAAATGAATAATGTCTATAGATAAACTATTTAAATTAACATCTTTTAGATGAAATGTTTTGATTTCGTGGGGTGTGGAATAATCAGTCAGTTAAGAAATCAATTTTTTATATTCATTGTATAAAATCTTTCAACGTTTGCATTTGACCTGCCATCTGCATGGAAACTACATACATTTGGGCATCATGGAAAATTTGAATAATCTAAGCATTTTTTATTGGCCAACACTTAATCAAGATTATCAAGCTAACAATCTGAAATATATATTTTTTTGAATATCGTATGAAAATTGTGAACGTAACAAGCTTTTAATTAATAAACGTGCTCATTTTTTATCAATTGAACTATTAGATGAGGTGATTTGACCCACATCTTCCAAATGTAGAGCCCGTAGAATTTTAACTCAGATATACTACTACCTACAATTAAAAACCTTCTTTCAATCTTATCAAATTAAACACGGACAAGGAAAGAACTTGTTCTCCCAAACATTCATGGTTTGGTGAAGAAATTGGAATAGCAAAAGTGTGGAACAATTAATCTGCTAATCAATTCCAATACTATAACCTAATTTCTTCTCTCCTTTTAACAATCTGTTGGTATATATATATATATACGTATGTAGTTATACTTACGAACTCTAAAGTTTACATCCAATAATTAATGAGGACATTATAAATATTCACATATATACATGGAGAGCTTACCAACCATCACCATGAATTGAATAACAAGCTTTTATTATCCTAGTTGCTTGCTTGATGTTGTGCCTGTAAGCTTTAAAACCTTATATCATTATTCACAATTGTCTCTTCCAAAACAGAAAAATAGAATTTTTTATTCTTATTCTGTGAAGCCTCCCTTGCTGCAATCCGGCCCCTTTTGCTCTTTCAATTCGAGGTACATATTGTTTTCTGAACGTTCTTTAGATTTTTCATGTTAGTTATGTTATAATTCATAGCTTCTACGTTCTTTTGGAAAAATAGGGTTGCTTCGTCTTGAATTATCCTATTCAAATGAGTCAATTGCATTTGTATTGATTTTGCTTCATATATATAGGTAATAGGATACATGAATTGTATAAGAACATTTATGTTATATGTGATGATGGCGGTACTTTTTTGTCTGAAACAGAATTTTTTATTAATCCAAATAAATATTTAAATGAGCAGAAAACCTCAAGATTATTCATTTAAAATGTTACCATTAATTTAGTAACATAAGGATAAGTTTATTCTCGAGAAAAAAAGTTGTTTTAGAATTTGCATGCAGAAACATGAAATCAGTCTTAATACTATGTTAAAACCAGTTAAAAAAAATAACTTATACATTTTATAAGCTGAGACAAATTTTATTGTACTGAAAAATATGAAAGTTTAGCTAGAAACATATAGATTATATGCTGGAATCTCCTTGTAAGGGGACTTGAAGACTCAATAAGTAAATGCAATAAAAAAGCAATTTTAAGCTTCTAAATTCACTTTGAAATGCGTCATATTCTTCCTTTTTCTATCTTGAATTCTTTTTTGACGACCAAAAACTGAATAAATTTACGAATGTGTCAGTTTCTTAATTACATGAAATTCAAAGTACTCATTAGACATCAGGTAACATTCATTGAATATTTGAATCGATAAGTTTAAAATCCCATCATGCACCATCACGAATGACATGAAGAGAAATGCAAATATCATTATGATGTTTGAGTGAATAGTTACAATTCAAGAAATCTTGGTATTTTTACAAACGTAATTAAATTAAATTAAATATCATCAGTTTACTCAAGATGAAGGGCCAATAGCAAAAGAAAGAAGGTTTAGTTTTTCTTATGGTAAAGTCCATCTTGCGGCTGCTTCAAAACCAACCCACCATTTCAATTCCATATATATCTACTTATTTCTCTGTACTTCTCTTCTTAGCTTAGGCTGGAGATTTCTTTCTAATATTTTTGAGGATTCTCAGTTGATAGAGGCCTGAGGAACGATGATGGACGAAACGAGTGGATGCAATAGTGATGATCCAAGGACTTGTCCTCGTGGACACTGGAGACCTTCTGAAGATGAAAAACTCCAACAGCTCGTGGAACAATATGGCCCTCAAAACTGGAATTCGATCGCTGAAAAACTTCGAGGAAGATCAGGTTAATTTCTGTGAGCGCGCACCTGTGTTATTCTATGTATATGTCTTTTTTTTTTTTTCTTTTTTTTTTTTTAAACTTCCCCAATCAGTTCTAGCTATACTGTTCAAAAAATTAGGGTTGCTTGTTTGAGGTTCCATAATCCAACTTTTGAACTGATTATCTATTGATAATTGTGTTGGACCTAATCATATATGTATACTTATAATTCCTTCGGCTACAAATACTTCAGGAAATAGATATATAATATATATGGTATTCTATACATGTATTTAAGCCGTCCTAATATTGTCACTATATAAAGGGTATAGGGAGCTGATTCGACTATAAGAGAAGAATCATGTACTGTTGTGTTTGACCTATATATTTTAGTTAATTTGCAGGCAAGAGTTGCAGATTGAGATGGTTTAATCAGCTTGATCCAAGAATAAACAGGAGACCATTTACAGACGAAGAAGAGGTCAGGCTTCTTGCAGCACATAGAGTACATGGCAATAAATGGGCTCTTATATCCAGGCTTTTTCCAGGTAGAACTGACAATGCTGTGAAAAATCATTGGCATGTTATTATGGCCAGAAAACAAAGAGAACAATCCAAGCTTTCTGGTAAACGAAGTCGTCAAGAAATTAGTCATAACTCCAAATCCTTATCTTATGTTTTTCGCCGAGAAAATTCAAGATCCCATGACGAATATATGCCTAAAATCAGCAATGGAAATAGTGGAATTTTGGAATTCCAAACCCAAAACAAAGATCAAGTCTTCTCCATGGCATCGTCCTTCGATTCACATGCCTTATGGTCGTTTTTGATTCCAAGAAGTTCGAGGGAAAGTAACTCATCTTCTGCTGCTGATTCATTTATAAAAAAAGGAAGTGATAAATACAATTCCAGCTCCAATGGCTTACATTTAAATTCCTCGGTATCTCGTGCCTTCGGGGATTCAGTTGTAGCATTTGGCACCCAAAACTACAAGAGGGTTGTTCCGTATCCCTTTGGTGATGGCAGTAGAAAACATGGGAGAATGAATAGAGATAATTCAATGAGTATTAATGTCGATAGTGTACACCCATTTGCTAATGCAAGGACTAGTATAGAGCAGAAACAAGAAGACCAATCCATCCACAAAAAGGACATTCCCTTCATAGATTTTCTTGGTGTAGGTATTTCTTCTTGATAACTATATTATTTAATTCTTTTTCTTTCAATTTACATAGCACTATTGGCATGAAGAGTGCATCTTAGTCCAGTCTCAAGTTTAAGCTAAATGATGGCATAATTATTAACAAGCTCAGTTTGACATAGATTAATTTTATGAGATTAGATGCTAATGTATTTTTATAGTTTGCAGTCTTTGATTTGTATGACATCCTATTGAATATCGTGACCGTTCATTTTATTTTTCTTATGGTACATAGTCCTTGTTAGCACCAAAAAATGAATGAATTATGTCTTTCATATTGTAATCTTGGAGTTAGGTTTCTTTCTAAATAATTATGAGAAGGACAAAGATACTCGTGACTACATAAGAAGCCTAAAACACTGATCTCTTGACGGCATTTGAGAAGGTTTACTGATTGTAAACTTCTTAATTTTCTCGGAGAAGAAGAAATGATGGGGGAAATTGAATACCCATCGGCCACATGGATAATCCTGTGCAAAGGAATTGAGCTACTCTCTAGCTACAATAGAAATGCCCTTTTGTGACGGTCATTTTGCAGTTGCTAGATCTAACACCTAAAAATTCTTCAAAGAAAAGTCGGAGCAAATCTGTTGAACATAAAGAAGCCTTCAGTGGATAAACAAAACCAGCAGAAGGGGAAAATGGATAAATGAAAAATTGATTAAGCATCGCAATCACCAGATTTAGCCCTTGTATGAGCCCCATTTTTTGCAAAAAAAAGGTTTTCTAATTGTGATTTTTTGGAAAATGTGTGATCAAAATGTGGGAAAATGTTTTGGGTTCATGTGCAAATTATTTTAATGTGTGATTGAATATAATTCGAGAGAAAATAGGTTTAGTCTTATTAAAGAAAATTATTCTCTCCCCGGATCACCAATTCTTGATATCAGCTCTCCTCTTAATTCCAGTCTAGGAGTATCCACTGTAACGGCAATTGCCTTGAAACCAGCTCGTTCTACCCCTTTTCCACTAGCTGTGTGACAACATCCCTATCTTTGAAAACCCAAATTAAAAACAAAAATGTCTGTAATCGGCTGATAAATACAAGTTGATCAGATCAGAAAATCATAAGAATCATGTAAACGATTGTCAAATTTATGTAGACTAGCAATGAGATATAAGAACATTCAGGAAACTGTTGCTACGCGCCAACGCAAAGAAACAAGAATTTGAATTATCAAACAAGTT